AACAAATTCTATATATATATATGAAGGTTTGGGTGGAGTCGGAGTTAAATACGTTGCGCAGGCCGGTGAAAGTAAAGAAATTTCCATCAAACAAAATATATATATATCTTCAAACAAGAACTAATATTGATAGTGTTGAAGTGGAAGCCTGAAACAGTGTCATTTTGAGTAAAGAAGGACGACGTCATTTTAGACAGGCTACCAGATGAATCTTGACCGCAGGATACACTTCAGATCTAATGGCCAAAATCCAGTCACCAAGTCAACCATATATAAACTCAATTTTTCTCATTAACAAAGGGGAATCACTATTGGGTTTCTTTGTGCGATTGAGGAGTTAGGGTTTGAGAAGTTTCTCACTGTTACTTTGTGTAATCGGTTAGATTAGAGTGATTAGGGGTTTTAATCATTCTGGTGAGAGTGTTGTTCTCTTGGGATAAGGATTCTCAATGGGTTTCTCTAAGGGCTGATTACAGGATATTTGTATCTGGATGAGGGTTTTCTGTGTTATTGATTTGAGGTGTTGTAATCGTGATTCTTGAGATAATAGTAAGTGCAGTGAGCTCATACCTTTCATGAGCTTAACGTGGATGTAGCTTATCCTAAAAGGATAAATGAACCACGGTAAATCTCTGTGTTCTTTGTGTTCTTGTTTGGGTTGCATGTGTGAGATTGACTATGTGTGAAATTGCTTTCGTTGCATAACAGATAGATTTATAGTTTTTAATAGTAAACCAACTTTGATGAGTACCATGTTAAAGTATTGATTCTACAACAAATTGACCATAAAATTCGTAATATTCGATGATAAGCTTATAAAAAGGACACATATATCTTCATGGTATATTATTAACCGACCCTCATGAAAAGTTCATAAAAATTCCTACGAGATCATACGATATACTTTTAGAGTAATGTTCACATTTCCAGCCAACCTAACAAATTTAATAATAATAAACCTATGCGTGCAAATATTTTAATCAAATGTCACGGACCACTTAAATTTAACCGAACAAGATAAAATAACTACTTCATTGATCGAATTCACATTTAACGGCATCTAGAGTTACAATTAATTTTGACAAATTATTAGTGTTATTACATAAACTCCACTTATTTACCAATAAGTGATGCTAACCTGACGCGTATAGGCTAGCTAGAGAATAATACAACATAAATATTAAAAAAATAAAAAAGTAAAAACAAGCACAACAAAATAGAACAAGATGAGATTGATTGAATTTAAGCCTTGGGTGCAAGGCCTGCCTTTAGCTTCTGAATAGTTGCAACATCAGTTTTGAAAGCCTTAGCAAGGACGGTGTCATCAATGCCAGTCGTAAACACACTTGGAGGAATTGAAACTGTGCCTGCATTAGCACTTCCAAAAGCAGAGATTGCGGTTGAAGGTTGTTTTGGATCATCATTTGATTGATAGTGCACCAATCCCTTTGGAAACACAAACATGTCTCCAACTTCAAGTGTTTGTGTATAAAGCTTGTTATTGGTGTCAACGAATCCAACATTCAGACTCCCCTCTACTACAAAGAGTAGCTCAGCAGAACGTGGGTGTGTGTGAGGTGGGTTAATTGCTCCTACTGGAAACAGTAAAACAGCATAAGAGACACTCTGACCATCCAAAGCTGGAAAGTTTGCAAGACTAGCTTTAGTCACAGTGAAGGTTGATGGGTAGTCAGAGTTAACCANTGAACTCTCAGATTTCTTGCAATTTCGTAAATTTCCTCTCTGTCCAAACAACTCAAACCAAATTGTATCTAATTTATTCTCACGTTTTCACATTTCCTCTCCCAACAACTAAAACCAGATTAAAACTGAATACAATTTTCTCACGTTTAAAACCAAATTGTATATAATTTTCTCACGTTTTCACATTTGCTCTCTGTCCAAACAACTCAAACTAGATTAGAACTAAATTAAATTCCAATTTTCTCTCACTTTCTCACATTTTCTTTCTACCCAATTTTCTCTGCCCAAACAACTCAAAGAAGACTAAAACCAAGTAAAATTCTTATTTTCTTCCACTTTCTCAAATTTTCTCTCTGTCAAAATAACTCAACCAGATTAAGAATAAATAAAATTCTCATTTTCTCACGTTTCTTTCCATCCAACAAGTCAAACAATAAAACAAGTCAAAGTGATCAATATAAAACAAACACATAAAATTAGGGGTTAGGGATTCATTACCAGCCGACGAGGATGAGTGACGGCAACCGGCGACTGTGGTACTGCCGAACCAGGAATGGGAATGACTGACGAAGTGACGAGTGACGAAGTGACGAGTGACGAAGTGACGAGTGACGAACTGACGAGTGACGAACTGACAAAGTGACGAAATGAAGAACTGACGAAGAAGACTGATGACTGATGAGAGATTGAGAGGCAGGAGAGATTTGAGTTTAGGGAGAGTCTGAGAGATGAGATGCGGCCGCGATCTGAGATGAGATATTGAGATGAGAGTGAGAGTGTGAGAGGGAGGCGTGAGCGTGAATGGCCGCTGAATGTGTGATAAAAATTAAAAACTTAGGGATTCAGTGAATAGTGAATAGTAGACCTGGCAAATACGGGTGCCTGCGGGTGCCCGCAAGTTCACCCGTATAACCCGTGATTTATTGGACCGGGTACGGGTACGGGTCACAAAAAATGGGTTTAATTTATTAGACCCGTACCCTATATTTTTTACCCGGGTAGGGACCAACCCGCGGGTCCGTACCCGTTTTGCCAGGTCTAGGTACGGGTCCTTATACGAGTCGAGATATACGGGTCCAAAGTATTGGACATGTGCCCTACCCTATACGGGTATGGGTGGACTTGCGGGTGGACCCGTTTTTTCTCTCTCCAGATTTTGGTTTTTATTTCACCCATAATAGTTTTCAATTATGACAGTTACACCCCCAAAATTCCTGCAATTTTAATTTTTTACATTTACAGCCCCTAAATCAACTACTCAAATCAGGAAAATTGATGATTAAAGGAATAAAAGAGATTACAACTTCTTCACATGCAAATATGAAAATGCTAAAGATTCCCTTAGAAGTTTTTTATTGCAGATTGCATTTCCTCAATACAGCATACCAATCCTAAGATCAGAAGCAACCTGCCAACTGCATCAGAAACAAGAAACTAAAATCAGCATATAGAAAATTTACTAGCTTAAAATGCCAAACCAATTTTTATTTTTTTTACTCTGTTCTATGAGTCACCCCTTGCATAATATTTCGTAATCGCCTTGAAGTTTTCAAATTGACACTACAATGAATCTAAAGTCTAAACTACTATGCACAGAAACAATATCGAACCCCGTCTGGTGCTTCCCCCCTTGACCCTGAAAAGCTCATTGGTGAGATCTCATTGTTCCCAGTAAAGTAGTGAACATTGTAAAATTGTATTGTTTATAGTTCAACTAGGCAGATTCAAGTAGAAGCTTAGAGAATGTAGATTGTTTCGAAGCATGACTCGACATAACTCCTTGTCAAAAATCTTAAGCTTTAATGGTACAGTTAGTTCCACCATTGTATATGGTAAAGGATATTTTTCTCACCAGAATGGCCTCTATCTCCTTCTCAAAGACGGGTGTACGTTTTGGCTGAAGAGAAGCTTTTCCTCCCACAGCAGTGTTTATAGGTGGTGTTGGAACATCTGAACTTGACCTTGAACTGAGATTTTTATCAATGCTCCCATGTGTCAATGTAGATTGGGAGGCAGAACCTATTCAAGGAATATCATGATACCAAATGGAATTGTACTTGTATATATAATTAAAGAATAAAGATTAACATGAAGAAGAGGAAGGTGGAAGTCGGTGGTTGGATACAAATTACAGACAAAAACAAAGACGACGATGACTCACTGACCAGTCGTTGCCTCCTCTTTTCTCACTAGTTAAAATCAAATCCAAACTCTTTAACTCTCCAAAACTTCCCCTCTTCTTCTTTATCTTCCATGGCAGACCCAGAACCCCCTGCAGTTCTCAACGTCCTAGAAGCTCTCAAACAAGCCTCTCACAACCTCCAATCCTAGCCCTCTTCTAGTTTAAATGACTTCAATTCTTCCACCATTAAAGCTCTCCTCGAGCTCCAGACCGAGTCCGACACCATCCTTTCCAAAGACCCAAACCTTTCAACTCTTTCTCAACATCTCAGTAGCCTCAAAACCCTCGTGGAAACGCTCCAGAGATCCCGCGGCCTCAACTTCAGAAACTTCCTCACTCACCGAGTCTCGACTTATTCAATTAATCGAGGTAGATTGGGAGGCAGAACCTTGAACTGACGATTAATCGAAGAGGGAGACACCGAGACAGAGAGTTGAACTTCAAGCACGAAGAAGACTGATGAGAGATTGAGAGGCAAGATCGTAGGAGAGATTTGAGTTACTGTGAGTCTGAGAGATGAGATGCAAAAGGGTTAGGGATTCAAATTCATTAGTGCAAATACGGGTGCCCGTGGGTTCACCCGTATAAACCGTGTATAATTGGGCTGGGTACGGGTACGGGTCTCAAAAAATGGGTTTAATAAATTAGACCCGTACCCTATATTTTTTACCCGGGTATGGGCCAACCCGCGGGTCCAGACTCGTTTTGCCAGGTCTATCCAGAATAGATTTTCTGGCTCTGCCCCTGTATTAATACTACATGGATATTGCATCATTTATACCTTAAGCCAATGAATTTATACCATCTCTCTTTTTTTTTTTTAATCCATCTTTGCATTGAATGTGATTCATATACTTATTTAATGCAATAATTACATAACATATATGTTAATAATCTTTTGCAAAACTTATAATAAGAAGCAATAATTAACATTAATATAGATTTAAGTCTTAACAATTTCCATTTCCACAAGAGATTTTACCACACTGGGGACATTTAAATAGATGAACAAAATTATTAAGAATATATGCCATAGTTGCAAAATTTTACATCAAGCTCTTATAGTATTTATTGTTTTCCGATTCAGATGAGAAAGAAATATTGTAGGGTTGAAGAGCTCTTCCTCCTGAACCTGGATTGGAAATAATAGTTTTATGTACACCAAAGAAAACTAAACTGATGAGAAAATAATTGATCTAAAATACAAAACCAAGATCCTTTCTGTTTATATAAGCAAAACATTTCACTTTGATAATATGGAAAAGCTAAAAGGATTTGGTCAGGTCTAAGCTTCTCATTTGAAACCTGAGATCATTCTGTCATTAGCAAAATATAAAGAGACAGTAACCCATTATTATGGTCTCCCACTTAAAAATTCATGAATGCTCAGATAGGGAATTAAACTTGAGATCGTATGTCTATCTACACTATCCTTCATTCGCTCTAACCATCTGGACTATCCATATGTGGGTAACAAGTCAGGTTTCAAAGACCCTAATTTGGAAAACAATATTGTTTTTATATGTTTGTTTGTATATATATATAGAGAGAAAATGGGATTTGACATGCATTCATCAATAACTTATTCATCACCATGATTGATTTGTTGTTATCAACAAAAACATCTTAGTCATTGACCAAATCTTGCCATTACGTCTTCAGGAAAAATCCTGAAGAAAACTTATCTTTTAACAGCAAATGTACAAGAATTTGTATAAATTTTAAATCTGATTTTCCCAGGAGTGTCATTAAAGCTAGCTTCTGATAAAAATAATAAAGTAAACAATTGGCTCGCCTAGGAATAATCTTCGATCACAGCCGGCCATCAGGACAGGTAGCAACTTTGTTAAAAATCAAGGACAAAGCTCAACAACACAACCACTATATATTTGTGTTCTACCATGCAATAATAAACCACAAAACACAATAAACAACCACTTCTTACACTCGCTCTATAGCTACCTAGCTAATCAACATATCATTATGGCCTCAAAATTTCTCAAATCAATTCCTTTCTTTCTCTTATTTGCAATGGCTATGGCAGGTGATCCAAATATCATGACAGACTTTGTAGTTCCAGCAAACTTTAGCGGTACCATAGATGGGAGTTTCTTCACCTTTACTGGCATGCGCAGTGTGATTAGCTCTGACTATCCATCAACCTTCACAGTGACAAAAGCTAGCTTGGCTAACTTTCCAGCTTTGGATGGCCAAAGTGTCTCTTATGCTCTTTTACAATTTCCAGCAGGAGCCATTAATCCACCTCACACACACCCACGTTCAGCTGAGCTACTCTTTGTAGTGGAAGGGAGCTTGAATGTTGGATTTATCGACACTACTAACAAACTTTATACACAAACTCTGAATGTTGGAGACATGTTTGTATTTCCAAAGGGATTGGTGCACTATCAATCTAATGATGATCCAAAACAACCTACAGCCGCAATCTCTGCCTTTGGAAGTGCTAATGCAGGCACAATTTCAGTTCCTCTAAGTGTGTTTACTACTGGCATTGATGACACCATCCTTGCTAAGGCCTTCAAAACTGATGTTGCAACTATTCAAAAGCTCAAGGCAGGCCTTGCACCTAAGGCTTAAATTCAATCTGATCTATTTGTTTATCTTTCTTGTGCTTTGTTAATTTTTATTTTCATTAATTGTTCTCTGGCAAGCCTATATGGTATTAGCATCACTTGTTCGTAAAGGGTGGAGTCTGTTGTAATAATACATTAATAAAAAACTATTTTTTTGTGACATTTTATTTTACAGAACGTATGAAATCTCATGTTTTCTATTTTTCTTGTGTGCTTATGTTTTACTTATGGGATAGCCTACATGTGTTTGAATTACATGTTGATAAAAAGGTGGAGTTTGTGTAATAACACTAATAATAAATAGCTAAAAGCGGAACTTTGGGTGTCCTCGTATGTGAATTTCATCATTGTACGTAGTTATTTATTTTTCTGAGTTAATTTTCCACCGCATTTTATTAAAATATTTGTACAAAGATGTTTATTATTGTAAAATTTGTTAAAAGCTTTGATAAAACTGAAAATTATACAGATTAATATATAATAAGTCCTCTCTTCACTGCACAAGACTTTAGTAACATGATAGCAGAAACTTGTAGTGCTAATGTTAGTGTCGGTTGACAGTTCCTATAAATGCTATTCCATTAATGGATATAACATAGCTGATAAAAGGCTTTTATAATTTTCGTTGCAACTATCCAAAATAAATTATAGCAAGGTGTTGCACCACGATGCTAATTTAAATATTGAATCTCATCCAATTCTTCTTTGTGCTATATATGGGGTATGCATTACTAGCTAATAGCATACTTTAAATTACTTCACAACCTGTTTGTAACTTCCCTGGAATGTCCAATACTTTCGGAAGGGAGGTTACACAACAACCGACATCAACACAATTAAAATCAACAAGACACTAACACAACCACTATAAATATATGTTCTACCATGCATTACACCACAAAAACAATAAAGAAATACTTCTCTCGTACTCATCTCTTTTCTTTGTATAGCTAGATACTCAGTACATCGTTATGGCCTCAAACTTTCTCATATCCATTCCATTTTTTCTCTTTTTTGCAATAGTCATGGCAGGTGATCCAGATATCACCACAGATTTTGTAGTTCCAATGAACTATAGCGGTAATGGTCCCCTTGATGGAAACTTCTTTACTTTCACCGGCTTGTGCAACGTAGTTAACTCCGACTACACACAAACCTTCACAGTGACCAAAGCCACCACAACAAACTTTCCAGCTTTGGATGGTCAAAGTGTTTCTTATGCTTTTTTACAATTTCCAGCAGGAGCTATTAACCCACCTCACACACACCCACATTCAGCTGAGCTGCTCTTGGTATTAAAGGGGTGGTTGAATGTTGGATTTATTGACACCAATAACAAACTTTATAAACAAACTCTCGCAGCTGGAGACATGTTTGTGTTTCCTAAGGGATTGGTGCATTATCAGTCTAATGATGATCCAAATCAACCTTCTACCGCTATTTCTGCTTTCGGAAGTGCTAATGCTGGCACAGTTTCAATTCCTCTAAATGTGTTTACTAGTGGCATTGATGATAACATTCTTGCTAGGGCTTTCAAAATTGATGTTGCAACTATCCAGAAGCTCAAGGCAGGCCTTACACCCAAGGCTTAAATTCAATCTCATCTTGTTTATGTTTCTTAATGGGCGTTTGGTTGGAGGTTATGAAAGATTATTGAGGTTATGTCATCTTATATTACTTGATTATAATGTTTGATTGTCAAGTAATATAAGATTCTGGTAATCTTGCATTACCAATAGTTGTTACTGTTGGTAATATTTGAGGTAATCTGATTACCTCCATTTTCTTAGGTATTGTAAGATTACCAAGATAATCTTATTTTTGTTACAATTATATTCCTTATTAATAAAAATTTTGGACAATAATGCCCCTGTTTTAAAATAAATTTACATTAATATATCATTTCAATTTTATCCTTGTTTAATTAAGTTTTTAGACAATAATGCCCTTATATTTAAAACAAATTACAGACCACCACTGCCACCCTGCCAACACCGCTAACAGCAAACCAACCACCAAGGACTGTCGCTGGAGTCCCTAAAATTGATCGAGATTCATTGAAAGGCTTCGATATGGCCATTCTAGCCATATTGATGGTCGAAAACGATCATATCAGGCTAGATCTGGCCGTTAACGGCCATAGACCTGGCAAAATATAAGATTCAGGTAGCGTTTGGTTCGGGGTGATAAAAGATTAATATTGTAATCTTTGTTTAATTTTCAAGATTCCCTCATTTGTTTGTCAAGTAATAAAATATTACGTAATCTTTTATTGTAAATAGTGTTTACTGTTGGTAATATTGGGGCTAATCAGATTACCTTCCCAAGGGGTGTTAATATAAGATTATTGAGGTAATCTTAATTTTGACCCTATTTTGCCCTTAATATTTTATCATTTCGGACACATTTGCTCTCATATGTCTATCAAATAACAATTACCCAGACTCTCTACATTTGAGAATTTAGCTAAAACACCCCGCCACAAAAAAGTTTAAAAGTTAACAAAATACCCCCAACCACCCAAGACCACCGTTAACCGCTAGCCACCACCGCTGGCCACCGGCAAAAGTCATCATATCGATACAAGATCGGCAGGATCTTGCCGGTCTTGTGCCGATAAGGACGTTTCTAGCCATGGATTTGTGATCCATGGCCGGAAACGACCAGATCTGGCCGTTTCACGACCTTATTGGCGTACGACCAACTAGATTCGGTCAGTCGTGCGCCATTACGGCGGCTTTCAGCGATGGTAGCTGGCTGCCGGTGGTGGCTTGGGGTGAGTGGGGGTAATTTTGCTACAAATTAAAATTGTATATGGTTGGGGTGTTTTAGTAAAATTTTAAATATAGGGGGGTTAAAAGAAATAATTTAAAAAATAATAGAATAAAAATAATATTATATTATTATTTAAAAATAAGAGCAATTTAGTAATCTACATAACATACCCACTCATTTACCATTCCAACCAAACATATTATTATAACATACCCACCAATTTATTCAAACCCACCAAACATATTTGTCTAAAGATTCTCTAATAATCTATCTTTCCAGTAATATAACATTCATCAGTAATATAACATTCTCTGAACCAAATACACCCTCAAGGTAATATAAGATTCTAGTAATCCAACATTTCTAGCAATCCAACATTCGCTGAACCAAACGCCCTCTTATGGTTATATTTTATTATTTTGTATTGTTCTCAGATAGTCTAGCATTACATGTTGGTCAAGGTAGTGTTTGTTGTAATGATATATCGAATAATTTATTAAAATATTTGTTCTAAGTGATATGTTTTAATTTGCATGATGTAAATTAGAGCTGTGGATGTACGAACTCATGAAGTATTTATTAGCCAAAATGAATAGAATAATACTTTGGGTACTAACAGATGGGTACTAATCTGTGTACTAACTAAAGCATAGTACAGGTACTATATGTATAGTACGGATACTATGCTTTAGTTAGTACACAGATTAGTACCCATCCGTTAGTACCCATAGCATCACTCAAATGAATATGCAGGTTCATCAATGGTTTTAGAATTATTAAGCCTACGTTTCACACAATTGTAATGCAAATTACTTTAGAGTAATATTATATTTATAAAGAAATTTTACAAAGATCTACATACAAAATAATGTAACAAAAAATGAATGAAAAAGTAAATTTAATGAGTTTAACTTTTTATTTTACTCTTTTATTCATTTTTTGATGCCTCACTTTATATATAAATCTATATAAAATCTTTGTAAGATTTCTTTGTAAGTATAGTATTAATGATTACTTTAAAGAGGGGGAAAAAAAATCAACGGTGTTGTATGTACAAACTCTTGTATATAAAGTGTAATTCAACTCAATAATGCTTGAGTTACCGATAAAGGTACCGATTTGACATACTGATTAAGTTAAAATTTGAGATTTTGAGAATTGGGCAAGTGCATCGGTATGTGAAAATCGGTAATTTACTCGGTAAACGTAGTATTACTGAATTCAACTTTATTTATTAAGACATCATTTACCTATATTAATTGAACTTTGATTCAGTTGACTTTTGATATGCACTCATCCATTCACTTTTTACTATATTGTGGGTTTGTGAGTTTTTTTTTTAGTATTAATTCAGAAAACCAAAAAAATATATAAATGATGGTTGGGCAGGTGGGTTCTAAATTTTTTTTATTTTTTTATTTTTTTTATTGAGGGTGTTTGGACCAGTTTGTATGTACTTCAACTAATCTTTTGAAGCTTTAAAGTTGAGACCAAGTAAATCCCTCAGTGACCACCCCTATTAAGGCCTATAGGTAGAGGTGTTCAAAATCAGTTAATCGATTTTGTAAACTAAAACAAAACCGATTAAGGAGAAGACTGGTTTTTCAATTAACCGGTTTTAATTTAATATTTAATATTTTATTTTTATATATTTTTAATTGAATTTTTTATAATAAACTGGATTTTTTTATTTTTTATTTTAATTTAATATTTTTTATAATAAGAGTTAATGACTTTTTCCCATCCAAATAATGGTTTAATAATATTTTCTCGTCTACAGACTTTTAAAGTACTACATTATTACCTAAATTTATATTTCAACGACAAATTCGTTCTAGACTGTTGGGGCTTTTGAAGATGGGAGATTAATGAGTCTTTTGGTAGTGGAATGTTGGATTTTGGTGATTGGGAATAATCGGAATTTGACTTGAGAAGAACGATTGCACAAACCTTAATCGCTCAATTGTCGGCAATTGACGGGATCGGCGGGAGTAAGGTTTGCTGGGTTTTGATGAGTGATGATCGAGGAAGAGAATAACGGTGATTTGAAGTCGTAAAGATGTCAGAATCGAAAATGGAACATAAATTTGGATAGTAAAATAGTATTTTTAAAGTCTGTGAGTTAAAAAGTATCATTAAACCATTATTTGGGTAGGAAAAAACCGTTTACTCTTATAATAAATTGATTTATAAAACCAGTTTCGGTTAACCAGTTCCCATATTCTCATAAACTGGTAACTGAACCGAAAAATCGATTTTTATATTTCTTTGAACTGAAATCGAACCAATTTTTCAGATAATCAAAAAATTAGTTTGAGATTTAGTTTTTACATTTTTTTTAACACCTCTACCAAATACACGAAAATAAACAAACCAGCTCAGAGGCAATTTCGTACTTTGAGCGCCTACAAAACCTTTATGGTTTCCCAAAAGTCTAACAGCATGAAGAGTGAGTATTAGAATTAAAAACAAAAATTTCATGCAACACAGACAAAACAAAGAAAACGCTTAAAGTCTGTTCCTTTCTTCCCAGTGGTTGGTTCATTACAAATTACGTGATTTGATCTTGCCTGGCCAGGGACATGAGATTTCTTTAAAAAATAAAAAAATTCAAAAGATTGTGAGAGAAATATTTTTGCTTTCTCTATGATTTTTTAATAAAAAAGAGATTCTGTGAGAGATTTTAATTATTTTTTTCAAGCTTTTATATATGTTGGATAAAAAGATATAAATATATTTTGATCGTTAAGTTTAATGTTCGAAATTGAATATCGAGTAAGAGAAAAAATAATTTGGCTAACAAATAATAAGACAAGTATATGTTTTTTATATAAAATAATTAAAAGTTGGATAAATTCTTTACTAGCATTTATCTTGGTTGTATTCATGTCATACGATATTCACCATAAACAAATTTTGATATTATTTAATATTACTATATTTTTAAGTTTAATATTATATCCGTTGGCTACTAGTTAAAACACAAGGGATCTTATCAATTATAATGACAAACTTTTTAGACTTTATTAATGGGAGGGCAGGGGTTATAATTTGTTCAACTAAGGAACAATTAATGGTTACTTGGGGACAGATTTAATTTTATATAAAGGTAAATACGTAATTGAACAAATTTAAACTATTATTTTTTACAAAACAAAAAATCAAATTAAAAAATTAAAAAACTATATGAAAGATTTAAATTATCCCTTTTTACAAAACAAATAATAAATTTCCTTTGTTTTTTAATTTAGTAAATTTTCTTTTAATTTTAAATATCTTTAATATTTTATTTTTTGTTTTTCGATTCCCTTTGAAAATAATTGGTTATGGTCTTTTTTTTTTTTTTGTTTTTAAAATTTTAAAATTTAGGTTTTAAGAACTAAATTCACTTAAAAAAAGAAAAAAAAAAATTAAGGGCATCTTGTCATTTTATCATTTCTCGTCAAAGTTAACAACAAATAAATGCTAGATATTCTCTTCAATTGATAAGTTTGTTACCATAATTGATAATATCCCAAAACATAATGGTATTTATAGAATAATAGTTTTAAACAAAGATTAAATATTTATGTTCATATCTTATTAAAAGAATTTCAACTTTTAGATTAAGTCATAAATTAACATCTCTAACTACTATTGGATTAAAAAATATGAAAGATTTATTAATAGTCTCAAAAAATTAAGAAAAATAATTATGTCCTTAGTATATCGTGACTTAATTATTGACTCAATATTTTGATTTAATTTGAGGGTATACAAATTTTCAATTTAATTGTGTTAATGAATAAGTTCAATGTATAAGTTATGATATGGGTTCGTATTGTTATTGATTGAAAAAAAAAAGGGAACAATTTAAAACCTTGTAACAAAATTGAGTTATAATATCCTAAAATAAGTAGATTATTACTCAAATCCGAATTAAATTTATGAATAAAAATAATGTTAAAATTTTAATAATGAGTGTAAAATAGAATGTTTTAATGGATTATACTTAACTACATTTGATTAATCAATGATTATTTAACTAAAACGTCGTATGTACACTCACCTACTGCACTCTCTCTTTTAATAACAAATATTTCCTGACATTCCCATTTTACCCTCCACTTTTCAAACCAAATAAGAGCCAGTTTCAGGGGCAAATTTAATAACACATATTAACCATGGTTAAATAATTTTTACTAAAAACGTCATACTACCCTTTTCAAAACTAGCATTTCCTGTTATATTCCTATTTTACCCTTCACTTCAAAAACCAAATATACCATTCACGGAAAATACACAAACTAGCTCAGAGGCAATTTCGTATTTTGAGAGCCCACAAAATCTTTACTGTTTCTCAAAAGTTTAACGGCATGATGAGTGAGTATTAATAAATAAATTAAAAAAAAAAAANGAGACTGGAAGTCTTTTTCTGCCATGATAAGAGAGAGCGAGCCGGATAGCGCCAAAGTGCACATGAGAGTATCCTTCACGGATCCATTGAGTAATGGAGTCTTGAGGGATTTCTAAAGTAACATATTGTTCATGGGATGTGACAGGAATTTGACACTTGTCAAATGTACTAGTCTAGACATACTCTTTGACTGGCTTTCTGGAAGGACGAACAAGAGTTTTAAAGGTTTTAGACAAAGAAGACGTAGACTTGGAAAAGGCTATGTAAGGATTTACAATGGGAGGGATAGTGTCTTGGATTTTTTGATTTTCTGAGATATAAGATATTTCATACAGACTGTCTACATTAGAAGAAGATCTAGATAAGCTAGTATTTACGGGAGCAATAAACGTAGATAAAGCTGAAGAGGATTCCATGTACGTAAGTTCAACCTCTTGGATGTGTAATATCACCTCAAATAGTAAGGATAGCGCAAGACCCAAATATTAAACAAAACATAACATATGAAATAGAGAAAGAAAACATAACCAAAACTTAAAGGAGCCAATATCCGAGGGGAGGTAATCCTTCGCACACGCAGAAATTGGAATCGATAAGTGGTTTGGCTCTGATACTACGGGATATCACAACAACACCATGAACTAATGTATTAATGTCACCTTGAAATTTTTTTATCTCATCTATCTTAACATAGAATTCGATTTGTAGTTATTAAATTAGTACTCATAATTTTTTTACAAGGGTTACTCGTGACATTTTTAAGATCAGTTGTAGTTTTTTTATATTATTATAGGAGAAACTTAACTAAACCCTCGTAATTATATAATATACTAATTCTAATGGTTAGTTCAAACAACGTTTTCGCTTGATTATATTAAATCCAATCTTCATAAATGTTATGGGCAATATTTTACTATGAAGGCTAACGATTGATTGAACCACCACCAGTGTGGAAATCGGAATTAAATTAATGACAACATCAGCTACTTTCTTTGAATAAAACAAGTTGAAAGACAAAGAAACAAGTACTGACGCAGCCTATATGGAGTTATGGACCTTGTCCTTATAAAACTTGCTTTTGTCCCCTGAATTGCTATATGTATATTCACTGAGAGGTAGCTCCAGTTTTCACATAGAAAGCTCAAAATCTTTTTAAATTAGGTTCATTTCTAAGGGATCAAAGGCTGAAAGATTTGTTCATTTTTATCCTCAATTAGCCACTTTCAAGTAAGTATATGTACATATATTTTCAAGATACCTTTTTATTGATAAAATCTCTTTCTTTTCATATATTCATTTTTTCGGAAAAAGAGTTGACTTGCAATTCTCTTAAGTTGAAAAGATTCTTTAGAGATACATCAATGGTCATATTTGCTCTGTAGGCTGTGAATTTTGTTCTCTATTACTTCAGGTTTGGAACATTGAAAACTGCCCCTTTTGTAAGCAAAGAGATGGAAGCCATATCCATCGGATCTGATCCTCATCTTTATTTTCAAGTAAGTGTTTGTTTCCTCATTCATGTTAAATCGATTTCAATCTCCACTTGTCCACAAAATTTTATCTCTCTGATGTCTGTGTAATTTATGTAGGTGGGAAAGATAAAAATCAGTGAGGGAATGAAGTGTTTGCAAGATTTAGTACAATGGTACAAGGACAACTTGATCCCAGAAAGTGCTGGAAGGGTTAATGAAATCATGGCCTATCTTCAATCTCTTCAACGACAAGTAGTACAAGTAACTTTACATACTAACGTTATATGGTTCGTCGTTGTTAATAACGGGATCTTCTTAGTTTTTATCAACATAATACAAATTTCATATTACATAAACCAGTTTATGTGAATTTTGGAAAGGAAAACTGGGTCTTGTTGTTTTGGTTTTTATAATTCATTCAAGTACATTTCTTTCAAATATTAGCATTTGGGTCCTTAGATTGAGCTAAAATTGTCCAAATCTGAAGAAAAAAATGCCAGTATTTCACACAAGTGTTCTTACCTGTTAAAGTAGGAACTATTCCCCTAGCCATATCTATTAATCATAGGCTTTGAGTACAAGTGTACAGCACTGACCGGGGAAGATGGTAGACAACTTTGGCCTGAAAAGAAATTTTCAGTAATGTTTTATATCCTAATCTATGTGTTAGACTAAATAACTTTATTATTTAAAATAATATAAATTAAAAGTTAATTGTAATTATAATAAAATAAGGTATATAATGTAAATTATTTTATTATTTTTACACTAACAATGGTATATTTCCTTTTGTAAAATCTCATTTATTGTATTTTAAAAAAAAAAAAATTAGGAAGGAGAAAATTTAGTAGAAGGGGATGAAATAGGCTTTTCTAGTTTTACTGTGAATACTCTGCTTGTCTAATCCAAATGACAGTTTTTTTTTTTTTCATTAAAATATTTGAAGGAGATTGAATCTTTAGCACAGCAGGGAGAAGTATCTGTATCTTCCAATGTTGATGGAACAAATCTGCAATGTCGACAGGTTCTGTCTCTCTCCTTATATTATATGTATGAAAGAAATTAAAGTAAGTGAAACTTATGTAATTTGTTTAGTTTTAGTATAGTCATGTGTCTTACCATATACATGCCTCAATTAATAAAGAAAAACATATATTCAGTAATCCTTGGGATTCTTGGCCAATGTCTCCGGCCTTGCTAGCAAACTATATAAGTTCACTTGGTTGCCTTAAATATGTTTCAAAGATTCAGTCTCTCTTATTGAGTTCAATTTTATTTTCCTTTTATTGCTTATTAGGTGATAGAGTTGTTTGTATATTAACAGGAAATCATTCAAATAAGTGAAGAAAATGCCTATTTTGGACCTACTCTAAATCAGGAGATTGAAATTGTGATGAATCCGAATATAGACAACACATCAAGTGCTAAAAGAAGAAAGTTGAAATCAAAGGTTTGGGAGGACTTCAAAAAGTATGAAGGAATAAATGGAAAGGAATGGGCTAAATGTAAACACTGTAAGAAAGACTTTGTAGGTTCAAGTAAGAGTGGAACAACACATCTCAGAAATCATTTAAAAAGTTGCCCAGGTATAAAGAATCTAGGTGGAGGTGTAGAAAAAGCAAAAGAGAAAAGTGTGATAGATCCAGAATTGAATGGTTCTGATTTGGTGCTAAAGATTATTAAGTATGGTTTTGTTGAACATGGGAACAATTCTAACTTGGTTTTATTGATTGCAATAATTTTGGATCCACGATACAAAATGGATTATTTAAAACAGATTTACAAAGCGATATATGGTAGTCAAGGAGACGCACACTTGAAGAAAATCATTGATGATTTTACAAATATTTACACTAAATGTGTAGAGGGCACTAATAATTCTAAATCATCATCCTCTCTAGACAATGGTGATAGTAATTCCTTAAGTACTCCATCAAAAAAGCTAGACACCATGGAGAGATCATTTGCATTTTCTCAACATGTCAATGATATTGCTACACCAGAATCAGAATTCGGTCGCTACTTGAGAGATTCTGATGGTCCCCGAGTTGGTGAAGACTGTGATTTACTGGAATGGTGGCATCTCAATTCTCCAACCTATCCAACTCTGGCAAAGATTGCACGTGATTTCTTACCATCGCCTATCTATACTCCTCCGCTAGTGAAATTAAGGATAAGTATGGTTGCAGTATCAAACTGGTTTTGGCACATATAAATGTTTGGTTGAATTGCCCAATAATTAAATAATCAAGTTGTTGAAATATATATATGTTATGCTTTTTTTTCCATTTACTTAAGAGCAAACGACGTGTTTCCACGCAAGGTTTAGCGAAATGGCAAGTTCCCTTCCCTGTTCATAAAATCAAGATTCTCACCCTTAAATTAATAGTATATTGTTTAATATAACAGGTAAAAAGTAAAATGGTCATTCCAAATTCCAAATCTCATTCGATTGGAATCGCCAGCCATTTTGGTTGTCTCCCTGCCATAATCTTCACCATTCACGACAGGAAACACCCCTAACACTGTTTGTTCTTCTCCCAACCCGACTAACCAAGTTTTCGACGAATTTGCACCATTTCCCATGACCCATACCCCACCATACGATCGGCGATTTCAGGCCAATTCAACCTTTTCTTGGTGTAGCTAATCCCTCCTAACACCACCATTGCAATCCCCTCAACCCCTACATCAAAGCCTCTTACCTTTCCGCCTGATTGAATCCCCTAATTGTCGATCGCTTCTCTTAGTTTTGATCATGTGTTTCATCCAAATTCTTGATGATCCCAACATTGCAAACCACCTCAACACCACTAATAGCATTAGCGGCTTCCCAACAGCGAACCCCTAACATCCCATATCACAATTGCCTGTCGATCGCCGCCGCCCCTCCTTTAGGGTTGCGCACGGTTGTTGGGTCTTTCTAGCCAAATTTTAGCTGATTCAGGCATCGAAAATCACCCTTGACACCACTAATATCACCATCGACATCCCCACTCCAAGACGCCTATGACCCCCGACCCCAATTGCCTGTCAATCACCGTCTACCTCCCCTCCTTAGGCTTGTGCAATTTTATTGATTTTGGATTGATTGAAGGTTCATTTGGAGTTTGTTTTGAAAGGAGAATGATTGGTTTGGAAGTGTTTGTGGTTTGTTGATTGATTGTGGTTTTCTTTTTCTAAGCAAAAAGGGTGAAATCAGCTTCACAAAAAAAAAAAAAAAAAAACGGAGGAAGGGGAGACGAAGAAGAAGAAGATAGGAGGGCAGTTTGGTGATAGCACCCTCTGTATCTGTGTCAGAACTCAACAATCACTAGCGATGTTACTTTAAGGGTGAGAATCTAGAATTTATGAAACTAGAGGTGGGAAATTGCCATTTCGCTAAACCTTGTGCCGGAACATGTCGTTTGCTCTTTACTTAATTTTGTGCTTTTAATACGAGTAACCATTGAGCAAAATTTAAAACAAGGGATCAACATATTTATGTAAAAATAAATGAAAAATATTAAACTTCTCAAATTTTATCTCAATTTCTGATCTTTTAACTCATGTCTTTTTATATCTTTATAATTGAAATTTTCATCCTAAGTCATATATATTCTAACATTATCATTTTTTCTCGTATAGTGATATATGAAGGAGAAAAACCTATATAAAGACGTATCAATTGAAAAAACAATTATTTAAAAATTTAACACTATTGAGAAAACCTACAAAAGAAAGAAAATAGAGTTATTATGTGAATTGAATCCTATTAATTTTCTAATTAGTCTTGTTATAAAATATTTTCACATTAATTTCAAATTTATCCTTGGTAATGGAAATTTTCTCTCCTTTTTTGTTTTTCTAATTCACTTACAATGCCCTTCAAAATCATATAAGAGTTGGAGCCAACGCAAGAGCAAGTGCTAGAATCGGGAATTCAAATGAGAAGAAGCAATACCACATTATTTAGTTAGTTTTTTTTTTTTTTTTTCTTGGGAAACCCGAAAATTGTACTAAAAAAGAATAAGAAAATTACGATATAGGAAGGAGAATTCCTTCCCTCCGAAGAACCTTGGACAGGCCCAAGGATCGAACTAAACAAAACAAAAGGATAAATAATCCTTTACAAGCTAAGCCCAGACAAAAAGAAGGCCCAGGCAACTAAACTAATAGAAGCTACACAAAATATCCAAAAGGATATTAGACTGCAAGCCTAGAAGCCTAAAGAAACCGTTGGGCCCAGACTATACAGGCCCAGGGTCTACATGCGCAAGACAGTAGCTGCTGGCCCAAGATGGCACAACCCAAGTTAGAATGAGAATTCGCCCAATAGCTCGGTCCAGACAGCAGACAGGCCTTAGGACTCCGTCTCAAGCGGGAAGTTGTTGGCCCAAAAAGGAACGAACCAAATGGAAAGGAGGAAACACCCAATAGGTCGGTCCAAACAGTAGACAGGCCCATGGGCACAACACGTGAGCATTATTGTCAGCTCAAGAAAGCATGATCCAATAAAGAAAAAGGTTGAGCCCATTAGCAGCTCCGTTCCTTGTCACTCCTGGACAAACACTGAGGCCCAAACCGTAGCCCAACAACCTAACAGATCAACTTGTACAAAGGAGCCGAAAACTCCTTCCAAAAGAAACAGCCCAGGATAAGGAAATAAAAAAAGAAGTCTTCCATACTTAAGGGCCCAACGGTGATTATCCTTTCCCTTCTCCAGCTTAAACAACAGGGAAATCCCTTCCTTGGCCTACCACTTGAATTGGTGGATGTGAATCCTGTGGTACTTTTTCTGAGCCTAGTAAATGTGCAGGCGCGTAAGTTCTAATTTTTTTTATTTTATTCTATATAAAACTGATACAAATTTTGTATCATTGAAGATAGTTTTAGAAGTTAACTTGAAGCTTTGCTCATTTTGTCTTTTTCAGGTCATTTCGGAAATATTGAATTACCTACACCAGTATACCATCCTAACCATATCAGTGAACTCAAGAAGTTGTTGAGTTTACTCTGTTTGAAGTGCTTAAAATTGAAGAGCAACAAGGTAAATGTGTCTTTGTTCTATCTGTTCCCTTGAGCATTCTTCTGTATTAAGATGAAATAACTATTTGATGCATTCAAGGCATGCCTCTTGAACACCTCTAGAAACTATAATGAAACAATTGTAATTCATAGATAAGTTGAACTTGCTTATAATTTTCCCAACTTTATAAGTTTTGTGTTTATCTTATGGTTTATGTGTGTATTAGCTTTGTCATGTGAAATTAGTCACTTATCATCTTTGTGGTATTGGAAATATCAAGACTTATTATCATGATACACTTGTATTAAGTTGGCCATCATTCATATAATTTTTAATTTTTTTTAATTTTTGTAATTTTAAAAAGTGACTATGGCCAAGGTTCTTCTGTTGATATGGCGCTTTAATTTCTATTTTTATGTTATTTTGCATAGCATTTCAAAGCATGTACTTAAACTTACATTATCCCTTCTAATGACATAAGTCCAACTACGCATTCTACTGCATATGCCAGTGTCATTAAACTGGATGAGATTATTTAGTTTCATGTATATGGTAAATTTGTATATTAACATAATTGAAATTTAATTTGTATATATATAGCAGTATTGAAATTTAATATAGAGCCTAGCTCATATCAAACCAAAGATTAAGATTTGAGAGAAAAGAAAATTGAATATTTAAAAGTTTTTGTCAGAGTTTGAGATTGAAGGTGGCAAAAGGGGGCAAAAGACTGCCGAAGAATGCCTATAAAGGAAGCTTGATAGAAAGGGTAGAAATGAAGATCAAAGAATATCAAACAAAGAGAGAATTGTATTTTTGTATTGTACATTGTAATGTGTACATCAGCCAATTTATACAGTGGCTTTAAATACAATAAAGGAAAAGAAATGCAATAAACTCTTAATTACAAAATATTACAATAATCAATCAAATAATTGTAAATCAATAACTGCTTGATTCCAGCATAAATATTTTTAGCATTCTATATTTCATCAGTTTTTACTCCATAAAGAAAGGGAAACAAAAATTTTAAATGGTGAATTAAGTATTCTTGTAATTTTTTGAAAAACTTTAATTACAATAAAATATATTTTACATAATCCATATTGAAATTTTTCAAAATTGAGGAGGGGCCTTCCTACCTCTACCAGTGATAAAGCTCCTTCAATTGCAATGCAGCCTTCGGTGTCTATTGTTGAACTGAAAAATGTATTGATTTGAAAACAGATGGGAGAACTTTAAATAGAATTAAGTAAGTTGACTGAAATCGGAATATTATGAAATAGAGTAACTAAACCAACGGTTAGATTTATTAAAATACAGATTTTATTTATATTTTGTATTTTCATTATGCTATCTTTAGTATTTATAAGCTAGTTCTATGCTAAATACTCTTTAATATTAAGATAAATTTACTATTATATAAATTGTCTTGTGATCTAATTTGTATTTACTGCATACTAAAATAATTATAATTAAGTTGCCAATAATGCTACCTTGCGGACTAAAGTATTTGCCCTGAAGCTGATTGAATATGAAAAAAAAATAAAAATCACATTCACTTCCCATGCAGTTGGTAGAGAACTCGTCTCCACCAATTCCAAGTACAAGGAGATATGATTTGTCACATTCTTGCTGTCGTCCCCAGTTAGGCAAATATACAGTTTCCTGTTATAGCAACTATAATTGTAAGCTCAAGAAGATTTTTAACTATTTGAAAAGTTAATAAGCGAGAAAAACCATTTGACATTGTCATCATTCTTAAACAGCTTGTGGGTTACAAGAAATATTTATTGATTGTAGAATCATTATCTTCATAGACAAAACATACCGTTTGAAGCCCCCTGCATCAAAATTGTCGGAGATGTATGTCTTGAATGAAGATTTAGACAGATCTGAGAAGGACTCAATTTTGAACAGATAATGACTAGGTGGAGTATCCCTTCCTGAAATAAAATAAAATCCTATAATTATAATTTACAGATTGAAATTGTATTTGCCTCAATGAATTGTTCGTTTTAATGCGTTATTCAGGTTATGAATTTATTATAGACTTTCATAATTTATAAACTCATTAAACAAAAAATTGTTTATGAAGATAGATGCTCACATATTATACGTACATCCTCAACATGTCAAAAAAAAAAAAAAAAAAAAAAAAAAAGAGTTAACGAAAGAAATACCTATTAAGATGGCTTCTTCAAAGGAATCTTGGGAACT